TTATTCATTTCAAACGGGCCTGCCCGTGGGCCGTAGTTTGCCCACGGCTCGGCTAGGACCTGGAAGTCCTCTGACTGGGCCTTAGCCGTGGCCTGATCTTGCTTTTATTTTTGGAGTTGGGTGTCCTCATCTCTATTATTACAAATCTTAAAGGCCAAGTTAATGAGGTCTTTTCTGAGGGGTATATGGACCTGTGTCTATTTTTTGAAGTTTGTGGTGTATGTCAGGGGCTGATTGGGATATAAAATGGGTGTTTAGAAGAAGGGTCCCTCTGGGAAGGTCGGATCTAAGGTGGTAAAGTCTGTAAGGCCTCAGTGAGGTGGGAGAGGAAGAGAGCTGGATTTCCTCAGGGCCCTGAGTGATTCCATTAGTTTATCATAGTTGACTGCCTTATGGACAGCCTTTTGAGTCTGGCAATGAGACAGTTGAGAATATGGCTATGGAACCAGTGCTCTGGAGAATTAAACTGAGAGTCCCATCTCACGTCAGTAAGGGGACAGTGTCAGTGCCAACCAGGTTGTCTTCACGTCCTGTCTGTGGGGTCATTGGCATGGTCCGGAGCTGTTAGCCAGATGTGCTCAATCTCCCCTGGGGTTAGTGAGGAGGACAGGATGACATAGCTGTCATGCCAGGTCAGGTCATAGGTCTGGGTCAGGTACTCAAATTTCTTGGTAAAAGTGGCCGGGTTGGTAAAGAAGAGCTTAGTCTTTTTTCAATCTCAGAAAGGTCAGACATAGAGAATGGGACATGAACTCAGACTATGTCCTCAGTTCCTACGACTGCCCTCAGGGGTAAAATGGGAATAGAAGTGGCTGTTGAGGAGGGTGGTCTTTGGGTGGCCTGAGAGATAGTGTTAGGTGGGCAAAGTCTGTATTGGAAATTGAGCTCTCAGGATTTGGGCTCTCAGGGGCCAGGGTAGGTGGTTTGCTTAGGAGGATCTGGGTTTGGGAATCTACTGCAGGTGAGGGAAGGGGTGTGTAAGTGGGTGGATGTCGCTGGTCTATAAGGTCAAAAGTAGATTCAGAATCAGAAGTGTTAGGGGTATGATGTTTTGTGTGAAGGAGAAGGATCTGATAGGTAGAGCAGGACTGACAAAGAGGATTGAGAACAGAGGGTGAAAACCGGAATCTCTGACTATTTCCATTGCTGACAGAAATTATTTAAATCACACAATATGTTAAAATCAAAAGTGCCCTTTTCAGGACATTGAGAATCATTATCTAGTTTATATTGTGGTCAAATAGTGTTACAAAAGAAAATGAGGTGCTTGGGCCTGATCTCTCCTGTGAGTCAAAGGCAGTAGAGATTTTGAAGGAGACGGCCAAGAGGCATTGTTCAAGGGGACGTAGAGGGAGTGTTCCTCATGATGAGGAGAGTAAGCATGACCCATGAGGGGAAGGATGAGTGACACACCACAAGTCAAGGTGACTGTTTAGGGCAGGCATCCCCACTGCTAAAAAAATCGCCATGAGAATTGAGGGGTGACCCTCTGGATTGGGTGTCCCCATTCCAGAAAGACCTGAGGCCAAACCAAGACCTGAGGCTAGAACCATTGAGACCAGAGGACTTTTGAGAAGTTATTGAGAGTAAGTGGGCCGAAGACTGGAGATGAAGGAAATTGTGGAATGTCACTCACCTAGAGAAGATTGGCTGGTGTGGGATGGAGGGTCAGCAAAGCAGAAGGAGAGGTTCCTGATCTGGCGTCCTCCTTGGCTGGATGGGGAGGGAGGCCTAATTGAGGCAGGCAATCACGTCTGTCACCCGAGTATGATTTAAAAGTACCAGTAGCCCAGGTTGAACTGCTGCTGCCTACTGCTCTCTGAGTAGCAACCTTGGGGTGACCCAAGTGGGGGCAATGTCTCCTCTTTCCCATGGAACCCTCCCAGGTTTTGACACCAAATGTTAGGGTTGCCAAAGGAGGAACACATGAGGCCAACAGTGTTAAAGAATTATAAATGTATTAGGTCTTCGGGAGGCCAGATGGGCTGAACTTCAAATGGCACCAGAACCCAGGGATGAGGAGTCAGAGATTGGGTTCTACGTGGGGCTTTTTTGCAGGAAACTCTCTGGGTGGGTCCAGATACTGGGAAAATCCAGAGGGGAGAAACAATGGTCTTCAGTGGAATAGGGTCTAAGCAAAAGGAGTATCAGTTGTAAAGGTCAGTTCTCAGGGAAGGGGTATCAATTCAATTATTTGATCAGACCTAACACACCTCAGCATTTTGAAGATGATTTTCCCATTTTCTCCTTGCATCTAATATTGACACAAAGCTGTTAGTAATGTGATAGTTCTCTTTCTTTCTTTTTTTTTTTTTTTACATTGAGCTCTTACATCTTTGATACTCTAAAATTTTGCTACAATGGACATTTTTCTCAATTTCTCTTCTCCCCTGGAGCTATAAATTAGATCTTTCATTGGAACTCCATGTCTTAATATTTAAAAATACTACTTGCTATTTCTCTGGCTCAGAATTTCTTAGCTTATTTTAATATCAGTTGTTAAATTATCTGTGACTATTTCAATATTCAACCCATTTGTTAACTTGAATTTTCCCCACAGTATAGCTAATGGAATCTTTCTATTTCCCATTCTCATTTCAAGAGATACTTTTAGGGATTAAAAGTTTTAAGATTATGTCTCAATTTAAGTTACCGGTTGTCTTTTCAAATTGAATTTATTGCAGTGACATTGGTTAATAAAACATGAAGGTTTCAAGTATACAACTCAACAAAACATCTGCATACTGCATCAGGCACTCACCACCTATAGTCAAGTCTCTTTCAGTCCCCATTTGCCCCTTCTTTGCCTACTTCCACTCCACACATCCCCCTTTTTCCTCTATCTTCAACTGCTGCCTGTGCCTGTGTCATATGTTTGCTTAATTCATACACCTTTCTCATCCAATCCCCTCTCCTCTGACAGCTGTTAGTCTGTTCTATGTAGCCATGCTTCTGTTTCTACTTTGTTAAATCTTTTTATTATTATTATTATGACTAGAGGCCCAGTGCACAAATTCACACACCAGTAAGGTCCTTAGGCCTGGCCTGTGGGATCGGGCCAAAACCAGCTCTCTGACATCCCCCGAGGAGTCCTGGATTGCGAGAGTATGCAGGCCAGACCGAGGGACCCCACCAGTGCACAGTCAGGGCCAGGGAGGGACGGGGGAGGTTGGCCAGCCTGGGAGGGACCACAGGAGGGCTCCAGGGCATGTCTGGCCTGTCTCGCTCAGTACCGATCAGCCAGACCCCAGCAGCAAACTAACCTACCTGTTAGAGCATCTGCCCCCTGGTGGTCAGTGCACATCATAGCAAGCAGTTGAGTGGCCTTAGCATATCATTAGCATATTATGCTTTGATTGGTTGAATGGCTGACCGATGACCGGACACTTAGCATATTAGGATTTTATTATATAGGATACGTGGAGTTGGGGTGAGCAGAATCTCCCTCTGTGGGCTCTTATCTAACGAAGTTTGAAGAATAAATCCATGGACTAAAAGATTTTAAATAAAAACGGGGAAGCTTATTGAAAGCATATACAAACGCCCCCTGGGCAGGGGTCCCCTAAGGGGCCCCAAATGGGAAAAGCCTGCTCTTTCTCTAAAATGGGAAAAAACCTAAATCCTGTTCTGAGTCTTTTATCTTTGGTTTATACATGCTGGCAGCTCTTTGTCTGAACATGACCCTTTTTCATTGGACCTTTCCTTAATTTATTTCCCCTGTGTTTTCCTAATTGGTCATTCTCTTGCATAGTAACAGTTTCAAAAGTCAAAGCCCACCTGGTGTCACCCGCTTTCTCTCCCCCTTATCTTGCAACATTCCTCTATCCTCTGTGTATATATGGCTTCCTTTTGTAACATTTCTCCATCCTCTGTGAAAGTCAAAATAAGCATTCTGGTCTTGGAGCTGCCTCCTTCCCTTCACATATGCATTCCTCTCCCATGGACCCACTTTTCCATAAAACTGCCTGTCCTGTCTCAAATTCTTATCAGTGATATTCCACATATAAATGAAATTATATGGTATTTGCCTTTCTCTGGCTGGCTTATTTCACTTAGCATAATAATTCCATTATATATTGGCTTTCCTAAAGTACATTTCTGGGTATTTTACATATTAATTTACTTAATTCTCTCATTAACTTTATGAACTAGGTACTATTAACCCTACTTTAAAGATGACTACATTGAGTCAATGATTGAGGCAAAAACTTGCTCAAGGCCATGGAGCTAGTAAGTTTGGAGCCAGGACACAACCCTATGGAGTACCTTTCCATCCCAGGTGGTACTAGTCACCCAAGTTGCATGCTCATTGCTTGCCCCTGAAAGTAATTACCCCAATAGCTGCTAGCTTGCCCACAGTGGATGGTGTTGGCACATCCACAGTTGTTTGCTGTCTTAATTGCCTGTGTACCTTCCTGGTCCCTATATCACAGGTTATGAAGGGGTCCCGGGGTTGCAGCTGCCTGTCTTCTGTAAATATTTCAGGTGAGTCACCATTTCTAGAACAAGAACTTTTATTTTCAAATTTAGCTTTACATTGATTAGAAGAAAATTCTACTATTTTGTAAGCTTTAAATATCTAGTATACAAGTTGAAGGGGAGGAAAACATTAGTTAGAAAAACATTAGTAGGTTTTACTACTTAATTTCTATTATATCTACTTGGACTGATTGAAATTCACAAAACTGGATCCTGCATCTTAGTGTTGTTGGAATCATGGGAAAAGGAAGAGGTTTTTTTTTTTTTTAAGTGTAATGCACCCACTGACCTCTGGAAGCTTTCACCAGACTTACAGTGATGGAAATAACTCTTTTTGTGCTTCAGTAGGAATCTATTTACACACAATTATAATGCAAAAGCAGTTTTATTTATACACACACTAATAAAGGAAAGCAGTCTTCTGCCAAATAAAGATCTAGATTCTTATGCAGCTGATTTTGGGACCTACTACAGTGCGAAGACTTGCTTAGTTGCCTTCAGATGTTAGGTCTATTAACACTTCAGCAGGCTTTTTCTTCCTTCTGGGCCTGATTCTCAATTTCCTTACAATATTTTAGCTTGGTTTGCAGGTTTTTTGTGCTCCTCTTCTGTTCTTTCAGGTACTTTCCTATGAATTCTAAGACCTATAGAAATAAACAGTAAAACACCCTTAAGAACCTTGTCTGCAACAGGAGGCAATCAAAAATCTTCCTACCCAGCCCTAGACGGTTTGGCTCAGTGAATAGAGCATTGGCCTGCGGATCAAAGAATCCTGGGTTTGTTTCCAGTCCAGGGCACCTACCTTGGTTGCAAGCTCCTAGAGCCCTGGCCCTTGTCAGAGGCAACCAACTAATGTGTTTCTCTCACATCAATATTTCTCTCTGTCTTTCCCTCTCTCTTCCACTCTCCCTAAAAATCCACGGAAAAATATCCTCTGGTGAGAATTAACATCAACAACCAATCTTCCTACCTAAATGGTAGCTCATAGACCTGCAGTCCTGAGAGCTTTTTCAGAAACACAGAATCTCAAGTCCCACTCCAGTCCTACTAAATCAGAACCTGCATTTAAGAAAGGACTAAGCAGTTGATGTGCACATAGAAGGTCAAAGAGCACTGACCTAAGACATTCAAAACCTCCAGTGAGTACAAATATCCACTTTCAATGAGTATGAGTGTTAGGGCATCTCATCAAAAGTATAGATTAATTTAAACAAGCTACTACTGCGGTGGTTTCCCACCCTATGTGTGCTTTTATTTAATGACATGGAGATTTCAAGTAGGTGCCCATACCCTAGTCCCAAAGATTGAGATGTAAGTGGAATAAGGCTCAGGTGTTTGTATCCCTTCAGAGGACCTAAGTCGTCCAAAATGCAACTAGGGTTGTAAGTTTTGTACAAAGCAATTTTCCTCAATTTGCTATTCTGTGATACTAAGGTTTTGGTGAGACAGAAGTTACCACCACAAGGTGGAATGTTCACCATTAATCAGGAAGATTTCAGAGAAGTCTGTAGGATAATAAGTCATCATTAACATTCACTTTTGCAGGGACCATCAGTGGTTCTCAAAGTGTGGCCCCTGGCCAGCAAGCAGCAGCATAATCTAAAAACCTGTTAGAAATGCAAATTCTGGAACACCACATGAAAGTCACTGAATCAGAAACTCTAGGGAAGTGGTTCTCAACCGTGGCTGCACATTAGAATCACCTGGGAATCTTTTTAAAATCCTGATTTCTGGGCCTCATCCTCCGAAATTCTATTTCTTTGTTATGGGGTGGGGTCACAACATTAGTAACAAAGAAACAGAATTTCCGGAGGATGAGGCCCAGAAATCAGGATTTTAAAAAGATTCCCAGGTGATTCTAATGTGCAGCCAAGGTTGAGAACCACTGCTCTAGGGGGTGGGGCCCAGCAGATTGTCTGAGTAAACCTTCCATGTGATTCTGGTACCAATTAACATTTAAGTCAGTGGTTCTCAACCTTCTGGCCCTTTAAATACAGTTCCTCATGTTGTGACCCAACCATAAAATTATTTCCGTTGCTACTTCATAACTGTAATGTTACCACTGTAATGAATCATAATGTAAATATCTGATATGCAGGATGGTCTTAGGCGACCCCTGTGAAAGGGGCGTTCGACCGCCAAAGGGGTCTCGACCCACAGGTTGAGAACCGATGATTTAAGATCTAGATTTAAAAGCCAGCAGCAAAAGTCATTTTGTTAATTATCCAGAGCACAGTTTTCCTGGGAAGTATTCCCCATCTTGTGATGAGTTGCATTCTTTCTTACCAGGGCACCTACTTCTCCCACCTCCAATCTACTCCCAGAAGTTGGTTCATATACTTCCTTGGGGGAAAGAAAGCACCTGTTGGATGAGCCACCCTCTTGGACTCACTTCCCAGAAGCAAATCATAATTCAGAAGTGAAGTTGACATTGCTTTCAGAACCAGTGGCTAACAACTTACATCGCGTTCTTTGTTGGCAGAAGCTGTGGTCTTCAGGTCCAGCAGGAGCGTGGTTAACCGGTCTTCCAGGTCCAGAGCACACTCTAGAGCTCTTAGGCCGGTTCCCCAGTTCTCTATCTCAGGCCTCTGCTGGGGAGGAACAGGGAGGTCACCTCAGGCACAGCTTTCTCACATCCAAATTCTTAGGTCAGATTATGTCTAGGTTTGTATGACCCAGTATTTTCTAAACTTTGTGGCACAGTGGAATCAGCCTAGCATCTTAAGTCCTGATGTCTGTCTGGATTTCAGCTGCAGACATGATGATGTAATTGGTATGGAGTGCAACCTGGGCATCAGGATTTTAAAAGCTCCCCATTCAATTTCAATGTGCATGCAAAGCATGGGTGCCACTAGCACAACTACATGCACGATTCCCTTAGCTTTCGAATTCCACATTGGTAGTTTAACTCTACCAGACATTTAATGGTTCTCTTTGTAAAGCTGGAGTTAAAAGAACCCTCAGAGAAGTAGGCATGTTTCTAGATGTTAATAGAACTCATCTAAACGTTAGTGGGGTATTAAGTGTCTATCCCAGTGAAAAAGGATTTATCTAATTACACCAAAGAGGTAGCAATTTCAAATGCCTGGGTCTGCATCTGAATCAGACTAAATACCTGATAAAGTAGTGGTTCTCAACTTTGGCTGCCCATTAGAATCACCTGGGAATCTTTTTAAAATCCTCATTTCTGGGCCTCATCCTCCGGAAATTCTGTTTCTCTGTTACTAATGTTGTGGCCTCACCCCATAACAAAGAAACAGAATTTCCGGAGGATGAGGCCCAGAAATCAGGATTTTAAAAAGATTCCCAGGTGACTCTAATGTGCAGCCAAGGTTGAGAACCACTGTGATAGAGGATGCTAACTGTTCTAGAAGAGGTCACTAGAGGTGTGCTTCTCAATCTGCCTGAGCATGGAGTCGCCTGGAGAGCTTGTTAAAATACAGCTCCTTGGAGCCCACCCCTAGAGCATCTGATTCAGTTTATCCACGAATTTGTATTTCTGATTATTTCCCCGGTGATGCGGATGCTCTGGTCCAGAGACCACGGTAGGTGTGGCTCATTGAGAAAAGCTAAGCAACCATTTAGTGGCTGACAATTTACTCAAAATGATATGAAGAGGCTACAAAGAAGTCAGATGCTTGCAATCAAAGTCAGTTTATATAACCCCATGTATAATATGGATACCCCAACAAGTTAGGTGTCAATGAATATTTTAATTCTCTAGACCCAGCAGAGACCCCATTAAAGTCATCATGACAAATTACACAGTCACCTTAAACACTGGAAGGCAGATTTTATTCCCACGTTTTCCTAGATATTCTAGGAATTCCTTTCCATTTTCCCTCTTCATATCAGCTTGGTCTTCAAAGAATGTGGCAAAACAAGGTTGTACTGATTCGTCAATGGAATTATAGGCCTGGGACAGGGGTGAGAATAGGGAGAAACTGGAGGTGAGACAAGCTGATTTTAAGGCTGGAAATCTGACACAAACTCACTTAGCTGTCTCTGTAGTTGTCCCAAAGAGACCTTCTTCGTTCAGGCTGGAGTCCTTGGTTTGCCCTTTGACTTCCGAAAGGCCCCAGTTGTCTTTCAAACCCAGGCTACCTCAAAGAAAAACCACCTAGATTTTAACATGCTGGGGCCTAATCTTTGGCAATTATGGCCTCTTTAATGATCAGATTTGTGAACCCCACATGCTAGCACTTATATCCAATAATACCGTAAACACAGGAAAATTCCAGTATAAATCAAATGACATTTTCAAGTCAATCTTTTTCACCTATCCTAACATATCTACATTAACTCTAAAGTTGAATATGGGAGAAAAATTATTCAGTCTACCCCCAGTGTTTTATGCCTATCGCTTTGACAACCCATTGGAAAGAACCGTGATTCTCTCTATCATAGCACATAGTGTGCAGTCACAGCTCTAAATTATCAGGCCACAAAGCAGCAAAATCCTAGCCACTCTGTTGCTGTTTCATCTAGCATCACACCATAACCGCCATTACTAAGAAAACACAGGATATATTAGACCTGAAACCTCCCTCCCAGTCATTCAAGAACCCATACTAACCATAGATAAATAAGCATCACTGATGTGCAGCTCATAAGATAGCACTTTATTCATAGCAACACTACACACTTCAGGGAGCCGTGGTTTGTCTTCCATCTCAGCTTTAGAGAAAACCAGGCATAAACAGTGCAACCCAGCAACCTATGGATTTCTTAAATACTAGGAGGCAGATAGCCACTTTCATGCAGCTGAAAACTAGATGAAATTCCACCCAGCTGTGATTAACAGCTACTCATCTGGGAATGAGGACATTGTTTCTGCACCAAATAACCAATCTCACCAGAGAAAAAGGTGTGTATGGGGGTGGGAGGAAGTAATTCTCCTTCATATACCAGCCAGTGTACAGCAAACTCTTCCATGTTTTCTCCTTGTTTTTGAGAAGGCTGATCTACTTTCTAAATAGAGAAGTGGTAACAAAGTAGATGTATTAGCTTTAATATATTCCTTTCTTTAAAAACAATTTAGGGCACTTCATGCTAGGTCCTATGGGGAATCTAAGAAGACTCACTAAAATGCATTATTTGCCTATAAGGGGGGAAAAAACACCCACCCCACAAGGCTACAATGCACATAACTGACCTTAAGACAGAATATGATGGTGGTTCTGAAGTGGCAAAGCATATAAATATATATATATGGATTCCGGCAGATTTCTTTAATAAATCGGCAGTTGAAACTGGCCTTGGAAGATGGGTAAGAATGTAGGGAGAGAGAAATGGAAGAAGGGCGTTCCACCTGGAGAGCTGGCACACACAGGCTGTAGAGATTAGACACAGTAATGGTTTCTCATCACTGCAGTAAGACTACTGCATTGGGGAAGCTTTTGGCTCCTTCCTCAAATGGCCTCCCAGAAGTTCTGACCTGCCTCAACATTTACCACTTTATTAGCCTCCTTAGAGTGTAGAGATTGTTTTACTTATCTTGGCAGTCTCACTGCTCATAATGAAGTGATTTGTAAATAGTAGCTGTGAACTCAAAACTTAATACATAAAAGTATAGTTTACATGAGCAGCAATGTGATTTCCCATGGTCTGGTGGGTTCTTAGATCTCACCTAAGCCATGTCTGGTGCAACTGACATAGAAGTGGCAGGTCACCAAGTCGATCTCTAGGAGGCAGTGAGGAGTCTGAGAATTTCCTGAGGGACAGCTATCCTGAGAGAAGGAGCCAGGCATTCTAACCTTGGCCCAGGCACAAGGATAAATGACATCATCAAAGGGAAGAGGTATTTACAAAAAATCCTACTATTTGTCAGTTTTGTTTCCTGACCCAACCCTACTCTTGTCCCTAATTGAATTCATGCCTTAGTCCCAGAAGGCACTTTAAGCAGATGCTTCTCAAACTGAAATTTGTATATAAATCACTGGTGCTCTTGGAAAGCTGCAGATTCTGATTCGTGGGGCCTGAGATTCTGCATTTCTAACAATTCTGCCAAATGTTGCTGGTCCAGGGACCACATTTTGAGTAGTGAGGGTTTACATATAGTCCTAAAAAACTATTTCAATAAAAATTTGGTAAAATGTGGAACACAAATGGCACTACTGAGGACCCCCTCATAGGAGAGAAGGGGACCATCCCTGCTGCTTCTCCACAGCCCACTGCAGTGCTTGGCATGCCAGAGCTCCCAGGACCTCCATGGCAGCACCCTGGGGAGGCAGCAGTGCCAGGGCGCTCAGCAATATCTAGCCTACGAAGGGTACAGCAGGGAAATGGAAAGATAATGGTAGCTGACTAATAGTTAACTGGTTTTGTTCATAGTATGTGTAAAACCTCTCCTGAACTCCCAATAGAATTTGGCGAAACCTTTCAGGAGATTAGGGTCCTATGTGAGCAGGTAGGGACAAGTACCAATGAAATCTGGATTTTTACTTACTTTTAACGTGACCCCCATCTACAGGAGAGTAAATCTAGAAGATAAAGATTTTACTTACTGGAAGATATGAATGTTTGGATATTTCTGGATAGATCAACTTAAGGTCTTAAGAAAAGATAATATATTTTCATGTAAACATTCCAACATTCTACCATCCCATCTGAGCCAAAACACAGAACTGGATACATATGAAGAAAATGTTCTTCTTCTTGAGGGTTAAACTAAATATTATTGAGGAATATTGTTATCTAATCATTTGAAAACAACCTCACAATATACAGAAAAATGGAGAGGAAAGAAACACATCTGCAACATCAATAATAGGTGTGTTAGTATAGTGGCATTACAGGTGATTTTTTAATATTTTCCATATTATTTGAACTTTTATAATTATATATTAATTTTGATAAAGGAGCCTAACAGCTACCTTTCTAGTGAATTAGCATAATGTAATCTCCAAATACACTCATATTTATGAACATATTGTTTTTTTCTTATTACAATGTAATTCTTGATCATTGTAAACTATTCCAAAATTACAATAATATATAATGTAAAAAGTGAGAGCCCATGGGTAGCAATGTCGTTCCAATATATATAAAATTTAATTTGATTCATAATACCACTATTAACTTTTGATAATCTGATGAATTGACTTTTGAATTATGGAACATTCTCTGACTAATTTATACACCTCCTCCGCTGGAAAGTGTGGGAAATACAAAGACAGCTTTTAAAAAATATATATAATTGCTTAAATTTTTATTTAAATGTAATACAAACTTTCTGTCCTTACAGTGTTACTTGACCTTGTCATCTCTCTAACGATTAAGGAAGAGAGAAGGGGCTCTCTTCAGGACTTAATTCTAAAGAATACATTTTTATCTTTAAAATAAAATATCTTTAGGACAGTGTTTTTCTTCCCTTTATTTTGTTCTCTGTGCACATACATTCCACATTAGTTTATAAGCTTCATGGGAAATGGGCCTAAGCCTTAGTCATCTTTGTATGACCCTGAGCATTTAGTAGAGTGTCTTGCCCAAAGAAGGCACCCAATAAATTATATTGACTGAACAATTTAAAAGAAAAAGAAATCTAAATGTTGAAAGTTGTTGGTTGTCAAGGAAGAAACAATGGGCAGAGCCAGATGAGTTCTTTGCACTTTAGAAAAGCAGATTTTAAGTTTCTGAAAATCATGGAGAGGAAGAAAGCCAGGAATTCCATGTCATGAATCTTTAAAAGAAAAGATAGCATTTAACACAATCTGGGGCACTGAGTGTGTTATTAAATGTTTACAGATGAAATGTTTACAGTGAATAAATAAAGTAATTGATCAAAATATCAATCTGGTAGGCTTTAAAAGCTAAGGTCACAAGTAATTCTGGTGCCTCAAAGAGAGATGGCATCTACAGAAACTCCTGCAGCCCCTACCTCCAGGCTCGGTGCATGTTCCTTTCCTCTCAAACATGTTTTCTGATTTCTCAGTCTGGGTTTGGAATCCCCACCTTTGTGTTCAGTGGCTATAGGAATTCTTTCCACACCTTTGTAACTGCTTGCTTATCTGTGCCTTCTCTCCTAGTTCATGAGCTCCTTGAAGGCACTTGTGTTGTGCTGTGGAGTTGCCATCATCTATCATAGAAGAGGAAATAGCAGGTCATCAATAGATATCCATTCACTATGAAGGAATAAGTAAATGGTCAAACATTTAAAGGACAAGCAAAAATATGGAAGGCAAATATATAACGAAACTAAAATTGCGAAATAAATCAAATCTGTGGTACATTTACACACTGGAATTCTATGCAGTGGTAAAAAAGAAGAAACTCTTATAATTTGTGGCAGCATGGATGGACTCGGATAGTATTATGCTGAGAAAAGTCTGTCAAGAAAGAGAGGAGGGTGTCAATGGGGAACAAAACACAACAACAAAAACAGAGGAGGCATATGTAATACTTCTACAGTAAAGATAAATTTTAAAAAAATAAAATAAAGAGGAAAAACTATTCTCTAAATTCAAGGACTCAGAATACTATCCATATCAGGCCTTACTGAAGCATCCCCGAGAGAACAAAATTCACTCAACCAAAAGGTAAGAGAAATTTCAGTCAAAAGACTGGGGTGAACACTGTTTAACAGCTGAACTAGGACTAAATTAAAGCCTAACTTAAGGGCTACAAAATAAAATATAAATATGAGCATTATATTTATGTATATTTTCACTATTGTGGTTATTTAAAAAATTATAGTCCTAATTTCCCTCTATTGACTGCCTTCATAATTAGACTTTTATACAATTCTTAGAACTCTTTTTTTTTTCCAGACAATATCTATTGGTTCCTACTGAAGTAGCTTGAAACTTCTTCCTCCTCTTTTCTTCACCCAATTTTAGTCAACAGTAACATCATTTGTTGTGGGCTGACCTGTGTTTTCCCCAAATTCATGAGGTAGGTATATGCCTACTTTTATGAAAAAAAAAAATGCCATACCTTTTTCCTGACGTGTTTGTACCAATTTACATTCTCACCCACAGTGTGTGGAAGCTTTTATTGTTTCACCATCTTGTGAGCATATGGTGCTGACAGTTATTTTCATTTCAGTCATTCTCCTGAATGTGTAGTGGGTGGTATTTCATGTGGTTTTGGTTTGTGTTTCCCAATGACTAATTGTGTTAAGTAAGTTTTATGTATGTTCCCATGTTTACCCCATGATTGAAGCTATTCTTTAGTATGAAGTTGTCCATGCCTTCAAAATCCTGTTGGGATTATAACCAGATTACTTTAGTCCCACACATTCATTTGAGGGGAGTCACAATTTTCATATTTAGTCTTACTTTCTTTTATTCATAATTCAAAGATTTTTATCTCTTTCAGGAGGTACTTTCATTTTATTTCATATAGCAATGATGGCGAACCTATGACACACGTGTCAGAGGTGACATGCGAACTCATTTTTTTGGTTGATTTTTCTTTGTTAAATGGCATATAAATATATAAAATAAATATCAAAAATTTAAATCTTTGTTTTACTATGGTTGCAAATATCAAAAAATTTCTATATGTGACACGGCACCAGAGTTAAGTTAGGGTTTTTCAAAATGCTGACATGCCGAGCTCAAAAGGTTCGCCATCACTGTCATATAGGTTCTAAGCTAGTTTTGTTAGAATTTTTCATAGATATTTTATGTGTTTGTAAATATTATAAGCAAGTTATGTTTTTAAAAATGTTTTTGTTTATGGGAAAGGTCCATTGGTAGATATTTATCTTGTATCCAGCAACAAAATTAAACTTTATTGTAAGTTACATAGCTTTCCAGTTCTAGTTATAATCATATCACATTAAAAAATCTTTTTCAAATAGATACATCTTTTTTTTTAACTTTTCTATTGCATTGTCTAGAGTAGTTTTTCTGAAACATGATGATTTTGCCTCTCAACAGACATTTGGCACGTCTGGAAACAGTTTTGATTATTGCAACTGGAGGAGGTCCTATCTAGTAGGTAGACGCCAGGCGTGCTGCTAGACATCTTAAAAACTATCAGAAAAACACAAATTAGTGTTCAGGATAAAGCAATCTTGTCTTATTCCTGATTTTAATGTCTATGATAGTCACCAATATGTATAAAGGGAATTTATTCAAGAATGCATAGTGAACTGGTAATTCTCTAGTGGTAACAAGCTCACCATGGCAGTGATTTTCAAGAAGGGTGATTTATAGGAAAGGTGTGGAGGTAAAGAAATTCACTATGTTCTAACTACAACCTGGGGCATGCCCTTCCCCACTAGAGTGACTGTACTAGACAAGGCTTGTTCATATCAGGTAGGCTACTTTGGGCCTGCATGTAGAATCCCAGGTCCTTGTATTTTATTAAAACAACTAGAGGCCCGGGTTCATGAATTCATGCATGGATGGAGTCCCTCGGCCTGGCTGGCAATCAGAGCTATTTGGGCTGGTCAGCCGGAGGGACAGACCACGGGAAGTTGGCCACCAGCGGGAAGTTGGCTGTGGGAGCACACTGACCACCAGAGGACTGCCCCTGGTGGTCAGTGCGTGTCACAGTGACTGGTTGACCAGTCATAACGGTCTCTTAGACTTTTATATATAGAGACTAGAGGCCCAGTGCAAAAAATTCATGCATGGGAGGGGTGCCCCTCAGCCCAGCCTATGCCCTCTCTCAATCTGGCACCCCTTGGGTAGGGTCCCTAGACCTGGCTGGTAATCAGAGCCTATCAGTGCTTTTCTTTCCCTGGCTGCCAGCAGCTGGCCCTGCCCCTGCCACTGCTTGCCATCTGGGCAGCGCTGCC